CCAGATTGAGTAGTATGACTGTCCTAGATCGCGAGCCAAACATAAGACGGAGCAATAATTTTTGTAGGCGTGGATATCTGACTTCAACTCTGTCAAGAGACATGCTGATGCACAGCCCTTCTCTCACATGCTTAGTTGACATTGAGGCAAAACAGAGTTCCTAGTCCCAGTCCCTGTTGTCAGTATAAAATTTTATGAAGACACATGGAATACAAATGTGTGGCATATTACTATTTCCTACTTGAAAACGGCTTCCAAATGTATGCTAATGTTTCAGGATATACCCTTGTTCACCTGCCCATGCTAATGCTTAACATACGCCGCGCGTTGCAGCCTTCGTGATATGTAAGCAACCTAGCCGAAATCATTCTGTGCTAACAGCATCTAATGCTCAGAGGAAAACAATTGATATAGTTTTTTTATTGCAGTATCGTATCCTCATAGACAAGTATTATTCCAAAAACCAATGAGCCGTTTCTTGGGTTTAATTTTGGAACCTACTGGAAAATTCATAACATCGACATATAACTGTAAGACCTACATTTTTTCATAACACCAAGACAGAAATTAGTCATGTGATTAGACTGACGCCCTTAAATTCCTAGCGGTTTAAACAGTTTGCGTTGGAGGTACTAGCCATTGTATCTGTTTGAAGAGTAAAACTAAAGCTGTCTCTCAAATGCATAAATTATACTCGGCAAATGCAAATAATGCGTTATTTGAGAACGCGCACTCTCTGGTGAATCTGCGATCGTTTGGCGTCAAAAATGATCTCTATTAGCGTGGGAGTAAAAACCGCTTAGACTTTCTGAGGATGATTAAATCTTGTTGAATGCGTGGGCCTTCCTATCGAGCTCGCAAATGACACGATGTTGAGCGTCAAGTTATGTCGAAAGCTGCCTGGTAATGTTCATCCGACACGTCCCTGCGAGGTCTGTATTTCGGCTTGCACGTCCACTAGGTGTCAATCATCCTTCTGTTGTAAACAGAAACCCGTTAGTCGTTTTTGCCCCAAACGTAGATGGCAGACATCTCCAAATAATTATGCCAAACAATCACTGTTTACGACTGTCCACATTGATTCAAGTAGGACTAAGCGTGTCTAGATAACGCACTCGCTGAAATGGTCGTGCAGCATTTGCGTATACAAGAGGCAGCTGAGAACACACTTGCATTTAGACCAATCTCGACTGCCACCATGGAATCGTCCTTAAATGCCTTGAAAAATGAGTGTGTTTACTTCTTTGCATTTAAATCAATTGATTTTTAAAGTAGGTTACGTTTTTGCAAGCTTACTGATGTCTCCTTATCAGTAATTCTTCCGCCAACTCAGAAATTAAACATTGAAGAGTAAACTTTGTAAGTGTGTACTAGTTAGCAGGACAAAGTGCGTCTATGTGGACCGGAAAACAAATTAATGAAAT